CACCAGTCTAAGAAAGATTCAATGTCTAAGTTGCCATTGAAGCAAGGAAGGTCAATCTTGGGTCTGTAGTACTCTCTTCGTTGTGCAGGATAATTGTGGCTTGTAGTATCTTCGTCATCACTATCATCCATTTGCTCCTGAAAGTTATAGCGCCGGGGTGGGTGTTGTGCTTGCCTCGGAATAGCTCCTTCCACAGGTTGGTTTTGTCTGGGATTGGCAGCCGGATTTATCCCACCACCATTCATTCCCAAACGTATAGCTTCAAGAATACCACGAAGTTCTTGGAACTCGCGGTTAGAGTTATCCTCGTGTGCTCGAAATGCTGCCCAAAGGGCTTCTACCCCACGGTCATCGCCAATGGGTTGATTGCTACCACCGCCGGTATTGCCATCTTGAACCATTTTGGGTCGTAACAATTTGAGAGGGATGTACCGCTATCTCGTTTGTTGCCTAAGAACTTAATGGCTCTGAATACCAACTGATGCAGAACGCAGTAGCTGAACAAAGAATTCTAATGATTCATTAGAACAAAACAGGAAGTACATTCATAATAATTTTCAAGTCCCCCTTCTGGTTACAAAATGGCCTAATATATAGGCATAAAACAAAGCAACGTAACATTCAAATTCTAGGAATTGTAAAAGACACATGGAAAATGAAAATGCATTTAATATAATCTAGGGAAAAGATTCTTGAGCCTCCAAACAGATATTACTCAGGTTCCTTGTCTTGTGTTGCTGGTGTGAACGCCATCACATTGTAATTAAGATTTTAAGTTTTTCAGACATTTAACAGCTATTTCCGTTTTTTTTTTAATTAAAAAAAAAAAAAACAGCTATTTCCCAATCCATATATATTGATATTTTTATTGATTTAAGACTTTTCTTTGCTCTAATTTTCTATAGCATCATACCCTACCGCCATTTATGGCTAGCGGTGACTAAATGCATCTAAGAATTAAGAAGAAGAAAATATAGTAGACAGGAGAAGTGGACCTGGTCCAATCATATATTATTACAAAGAATAAGTGTCAAATAGGTCATCGAAGCAATTACAATTGAATCCTTAAATTAGCCAATCTCATGCAATTAGTCTAATTAATTTACAATTGAAACCTGTAAATTGGACTAATTGTATGAAATTAGTTAGTTTAAGAATTTAATTGCAGTATTTTTAGGTTCGGTGACCTAATTGCATTATTGTGTGCAGATTGATGACCTATTTGGCCCTTATTTCTGATTTTAATTTGAGTTAATAACCAAAATGGTCCCTCGACAATTTCGTAATTATCAATTTAGTCATCGGCTATCATTCTTACCCAATTAAGTTCTCAAATATACAATATTTACCTAATTTAGTCCCCTGTTAATGTATCGGTTAGTGGACTATCAATAATAAGGATAAAACTGTCATTTTACCACTTTCTTCCCAATTCCCATCTCCTTCCTCACATCCGAGATGCCTAATAGCTCAGGTCTGTCACAATCTACCAGGAAGAACAGACAAGAAGAAGCTCCTCTCTAATGGCAGCCGCCTATCTCATCTATCCTCACCTGTACCCATTCTCTCCAACGTTTCAAACCCTAATTTCCAAACTTTCTATTCATTGTAGCTTCCCAGTAGTAATCATAATTTCATCCAAAACAACAATAATGTTATTCTTAATGTCCCCGCATGCACAGCATCCTCACCCCCTCCTCCAATGGCGCAACAAGCAGATCTAGATCAGATGAACAATTTGGTATTTCCAGTTATGCCCTCGATTCCAATATCGTCAGTGCCGCCACAGCTGATGAAGACAGTCTCAATTGATCCGACATGGTTTCTAGGATACCCGCAACCTCAAAACCTCCTCGATCATCACCATTATCAAAGAGGAATCAACTAAAGAATAATGCTTCAATTTCAGAATTCTACTAAGCAGTTGTTGAAGTGAATAACAGAAGGCAAGGGGCGGGTATGAGCCATTTGACGGAATAGCTTTAGGGCATCGTCTAAATCATTAAGAGTTTTTTTTTTTTTTTTTTTGAATTTGGATTGATTCGAAGAAACCTGTACTCTATTATGATTTGAAGAAACCGTACCTGCCTCTGTTTCCGCCTGAAAATTGACCGAAATGGGACAGATATGTTAACATAGGACTATTAATAAAATGACAGTCTATTAATGACAGTTTTGTCCTCATTATTGACAGTCTATTAATAGATAGGTTAACATAGGACTAAATTAGGTAAATATTGTATAGTTGAGGACTTAATTGGATAAGAATATTAGTCGAGGACTAAATTGGTAATTACAACATACTCGAGGGACCATTTTGGTTATTACCTTTTTTTTTTTTGAATGCTACTGGCTCTATTACATTGTAGTATCTGTTCATATTCTCAACCTACTGAAACACAAAGAACCAATAACGCCTCCACTGAGGCTCGAACTCATAATCTTTCAAATGGAAGTCCAACCCGAATACCATTAGACCACATAGTCCTGGTGGTTATTACCTCTTTTAATTTGTTATTTCTTCCTAATTTCGATGGTGACTTTATGATATTTTCCACAGAGAGTACTTGACCCGGAAGAAGTCTTGGAAATGCTAGCCTTAATAAGTTCGTGTATAAATGAAGCAAAAAACATGGTGCATTCACCACAACTTTAATTGTTTGGTTTTTAGATATTTGTTTTTGGCTTTCCTTTCATTTCCTAATGGCACTTCTTTATCCATTGATGTCTTGCAATATTTAAAAAAATAGCTTAAAATGGCATAAAATGGCATGTTAAGTGGCTATTTTGTGGTACAATTATCAGTGGGTCCACTTCCGATTTGGGTTGGGTCAAAGTGGATTCGGATTCTTCGTAGTGAGATGAAGAGATCGATATATTGTACGCTCAAAACGGATAAGGGGTGAATGAGATATTGATTCTCAAAGTAGACCCATTTGAGTTGGAAAATGAAAGGAAAAAGTGAGCTTTTGTCTCACATTGCTTTGGAATGAAGATTTTTCCCCCCTTATATACAAGAGCTCTTTTGAAGCTTGTAGAATTGTATAGCATAGAGACTCTCTTGCCGAGGGAGGGGGGTGCAAATCAAATTCCAACTAGAAGAGATTGAAAAAGGCTTGATTCAAGCCCGAGCTCGTGTGCGCCGGCACCTGCGGGCACGAATGTCGTCCGGAAATTGGTTGGCCTTGCAGGCATAGGTTATGCCAAACTATTTTCCAACACAGAGAGCCACGCCACTGAGGTTCGGCCTAGTGGCCGAAACTGCCTTAGGCCTTGGCCCGAAAGTTTGGCCTTTTCGTGGCTAAACTGAAGCTCCTTCTGTGACCGTTGGGGTTTTTTAATTTAGCTGTTACGGAGTTAATTCTTTGGAATTAATTCCAATTTTAATTTTGAATTAAAACTCAAGGTAGTGGTTGCTGTTACAGGAGTTGTGGGGGTGCCTTTTAATGCCAAAATAAAAGTTATTTAACTCCTTGATCCCTATATAAGAGAGGGTAGTGAGAAGCAGTTTTACACACAGAAAGAACAACAAGCACACTACACGAAACTTTGTTTTCCAGCTTCAAAATTCTGCTTCTACTCCTTCTCTTTAGCCTACTGTGTTCATAGCCACTGTCTTGTTCGCCGGATTCTTTGTTTGAATGCTCAAACATTGAATCATAGCAAGTTTTATCCTGGGAAGCCTAGGCCACAACGCTCCTAGCATCTTTGGGAGGTGGCAAATAAGGTTTTAAGGAAAGAGTGCTCACTCGACTCTTGCAAAAACCCAACACCAAACACTAGCCAATTTTCTTCATCTTTTCTTCCCTTCTTTCCAGAAAATAATAGTCAATTTTATTTGATTATTATTTGTTTTTCTACCAACGGATCCTACATGCAAATCCACCATGGCCGCCATTCTCCTGCTCATTGGGTTGCTTCACATTAATACAGGTCTTCTTTCACTCTATCTCATCATATAGTAATTAAGATACATAGAAAATAATATGCCCCTAAACTTAATGTAACAACTCTTTTATGTATCACTTGTTTGCTCGTAAATTGGTTGATGATTTTACTATGACTAAATTAGATTTTTTAAATTTTAATGCAACTAGCATTATATTATTCTTTAATATAAAATATTCTTCTTCTTCTCCCTAATATATATACAAGATTCTCACCAGCGGTAGTGTGGGAACAACCTCTCAAAGTGAGGGGGGTTTCTTGTGCGCAGTGAGCACCGGTCTAGCCTCTGTGGTTCATGTTCAGTTGAGTCACCATGATTTACATCATCCCAAATGCTCTGTTAGGTCGGGGTGTGGGGGGCCTTTAGAATTGGGGTTCAGCCTTTTGGAAGAAGATTCTATTCTATTAGAAACAATGGTTGAGCAACTAATGCAATTTAATTAATGTACGTATAGCAACTTCATTATCATTCCTTAATTTAAAATAATTGCATTTTTGTCCTTCAATTATACTAATGATACATATTTAATTTCTGAGTTACATGCATAATCATTTTTAGTCCTAAATTATGTATGAAGTGGAGATTTTAGTCTTTCTGAATGACCAAATTTACCACTTTATTAAGTGACATATTGATGACATGACTAGTTCCTGAGGGACTAGAATTTTTCACACTTTGGGTTTCACGACTACAATGCCACTATCATGATTGATCAATGACTTTTAAACCGTACAACATCGGTTCACGACTATTGTTTTTGTTGCAAATTAAAAATGGTCCATCCAACCCATTTTGGGTCAATTTTTCGGCCCGCTTTTATCGAAAATGATTCTTACTCCAGTGAGAAATTGACGAAAAGTAGGCCGAAATGACCATTTTCTAAAAAAAAAATAATAATAATCATGGACCGAGATTGCAAGATTTGAAAGTCGTGGATCTTGATAGTGTCACTATAGTCGTGGAATCAAAAAGTGAAAAAACTCCACGTGGCTGAATGGTTAAAAAATTTCACGTATATAATTTGGGTGTATCTCCTTTAATTTTGATGCAGGGGTACAATCCATTGGAGTTTGTTACGGGAGAAATGGCGACAATTTACCTGACGCCACAACTACCATAAACCTGTATAAGAGTAATGGCATCCGAGGGCTGCGACTCTACGAACCCGACACCAACGTCTTCGAAGCTCTCAGAGGAACCAACATCGATGTCATCCTCTATGTTCCCAACCCTAGCCTCCAAGACCTAACCGACCCGGCCGGAGCAAGAGATTGGGTCCAAAGAAATATAGTCCCCTATTATCCGGCCGTCAACTTCAAATACATCGCCGTCGGGAACGAGGTGTACGCTAAAAATAGTGATACTAATCAATACGTCAACTACGTTCTGCCGGCCTTGACAAACGTTCACAACGCGTTATCGGACGCCGGTTATAACGGCCGCATCAAGGCCTCCACCGCCACCTTCTCCGCCGTGTTAGCCGACACCGTTCCGCCCAGTAATAGCGTCTTCAATGCAGACGCCGCGGGCGTAATGAACCCCGTCGTCGGATTCCTCGCACAAAACAACTTACCCTTGCTGGCCAACATTTACCCTTATTTCAGCCACCGAGACGACCCCAATAACGTCCCCCTCCCCTTCGCTTTGTTCACCGAGCCCAACCAAAATTCCGCCGGCTACCGCAACCTCTTCGACGCGCTCCTCGACTCCATGTACTTCGCCGTTCAGAAGGCCGGCGGCCCCAACATACCCATTATTGTCTCGGAAAGCGGCTGGCCGTCCGACGGCGGCTTAGCAGCGACAACGCAGAATGCTAACACGTACTATAGCAATCTCATTTCACATGTTAACGGAAATTCTGGGACTCCGATGAAGCCCGGAACATCAATTGAGACTTTCCTTTTTGCCATGTTCGATGAAAACGTGAAACGTGGTGATGAAGTGGAGAGGCATTTTGGGCTTTTTAGTCCAGACAAGAGTCCGAAGTATCAGCTTAACTTCAACTGAGCTTATAAAAATATAATAATATATGGGACAAAAATAAATTCCAAAACTTTCACTGTATGTCGTATTTCCCGACAGCGAGTAAGACAATAAGCAATATATGTTATTATTACAGTATATTATTAAGTTCCATATGCTGTAAGAATGTATGTACGCGTTTGAGTAATAATAAACTTTGTGTTTTACATTAGTGATTTCATATTTCTTTTATACAATACCTTTTCCGATTTCAACTCAATTAATTCCATTTTTATCCTTCCACAATACTGATTTTTCTACTTTTTGATTCTGAGTTAATTACTAAAATAGTCACTCGACTATAGCAAAAATACCGAGTTAATCACTTATTTTCTTGACCGATTCAGTCATCAACTATTCAATTTATTTGCGAATTAAGTCACTCTCTAATGTGAGGGCATAATAATAGTCCTTTCACTCTCCACTTTTGAGGGTATTAGCACGCGACTCCACTTTTGCTTGCACCGCCGCGAGGTTACGAGCAGCAGCCCTTCTGCGGTCATTCACTGGCACGATGTCGCCCACGGCATCCCCAATCTTGCTGTGTCGTGGCACGACATCGCCATAGAGAGCATCTAGTCCGCCATTTTTCAAGATCGGACTGCCAAAAGATTCAAGTTTGGTCCTCGGAATTGCCGGAAGACTAGTCAAAGACAAAGGCCACCCCATACTTTACGATGCATTCTCCACGCTAATGCAAAAACACCCCCACGTATACCTCGTCGTCGCAAGTTCAGGGCCATGGGAACAGAGGTACTAGGAATTGAATTGGGGCCGCAGGTGGTCGCTTTAGGCTCAATGCACCCCTCGGAGCTGCACGCATTCTACAACGGAATCGATATCTTCGTCAACCCAACGCTCAGGCCACAGGGGCTCGATGTTACGCTAATGGAGGCTATGATGAGCGGAAAACCGGCAATGGCGTGGAGGTTTCCGCTGGCGGCTCTGAACCCACTAGAAACAACGGCAAATGCAGATTTCTTCTGCTATTTTCCGCACCTGTACTGTATCTCGGCGTGAAAAACATTACTGCGACAACAAAAGAGTGAAAGGTCTTTAATGTCTTCAGAGTGGAGAGTGAAAGGACTATTACATTAGACGGTGACTTAACCTCCAAATAGACGGAGGACCATATGGGTCAAAAATTGAATAATTGATAACTGAATCGGTCAAGAAAATAAGTTGAGGGACCATTTTGATAATTAACTCTTTGATTCTCAAGTCTGGACTATTAATTATAAGGTAGTAGGTTCGATCTTGTGACCACTCATTTAAAATAGTATCAGAGATGTCATCACACTATATAGTAATTGATGCAATCAAATTAAAGTTAGTCTAAATATTTTAAATACCCAAAGTAAAATTCAAGAAAAATGAAAAAAAAATTGAAATGAAAATTTTGTTGGTTGAGAAGATTCAAAAAACATAGAGTAATACGATTAAGGGTTAAAATTAAAAGTGAAAATATCAGGAGAAAACTCTTTTATGGACATCTTACTATTATTTTTCAATAACTTGTGTTATCATATTGTTCCTTTTCTGAGCATATTACTATTGTTTTTATAATATATAACTTGTGTTACTATTTAATATTCATATTAAGCTAGGTTGTATTTTGTTGAAGATTTTTGTATCTTTGTTGGTCCCGATAGAATGAGATGAGAGTCTAGAGGGGGGGGGGGGGGGGGTGAATAGACTCTTTTCGTTAGAAGCCCTAAACGTCACCTTTCGGTGTCTTGGCGCAGCGGATAAGATAGATTCGTTTTAAATACTTTGCACGAGTTTGCGTAATTAGACAAACTTTCGGTAATGATAATGAAGAAATGATATGAGAGCAAAAGGAAAAGCGTAAGTAAGGAGATAAAGAGGACACGAGATTTTATAGTGGTTCGGCCAATGTTGCCTACTCCACTCTTCTTCCACAACTGTTGGAAGGATTGCACTATCACTCTTAGTACAATTACACAAAGACTTCCTTGATCACTAAGCCGGACAGCCTTCGTAGGTTTTTCAACTCCTCGAGTTTACTCCGCCTCTATCAACTTCTTCTCCTGAGTTGAGGTTGGTAGAAAATGATTTCTTGAATTCTCCAACGAAGAGATCTTGACTCTGAGATATGATAGCTTCAAACTGATGTCAAGACTTCCTTGAGGTGTAAGACAAGTGATTCTCCAAGTAACTTAACACCTCAAAAACTGGTTCACAAAAGCTTTTTGTAAATCATAGACGTTTCAAGAGCTTTTGTAAGTGAGTAAGTCGAGTGATAATGAACCAGCACCTTCTTAGTTGATGAAGGTGAGTTTATATAGGTGATGAAAATCCATCCGTTGGAGGGAGATGAAATTTTCGAACCTTTTAACCATTGGACAAGGACCGGGGAGCTTCATGCATTAAATGCTCCATTAATGAGGTTGTACCATGTAGCCGTTGAAGGTATGGAAAGCATTAGGGTTTTGTCCTTTAGCTCCAAGAGATAGTACATCTTCATTTAATGCTTCTTGAAAAGTGAGTCCCATAAAATGAAGTCCTTATTGTCCTAGGATGTTGTCAAATCAGACAGGTGAAACATTCTTCTCGTTGTTGAAGAGAAGTAATGTTTAATAAAGATCGTCTTTTACAAACACTGTCCTTTCGTGTTTGTTGACAACTCCTGCTTGACTCTCGTTGTTGTTCTTCATGTCTCGTGTCTTCTTTCGCCTTGGAGAGCCTAACATCTAGTCATAACTCATTTTCGTGTGTTTGTCTAGCTTAACACGAATTACAAAAGAGTTATGGCAACTTTCGTCTAGGACGAAAGTAGCGAAACAAAAACAGCTAACGGTTAGGGGTCTACTTTTCTACATTACATTAGTATCATCAAAATCCTAATACAATGTTCCTAACAATCTTACTATGGGATTTGATACCTATTACCAATTTACCGTGTTTAATTGCTTACTTTTGTTATCATTATAAAACTTCGGCAAAAAACTTGTGTGAACCGTTTCACAGATCCTTGTTCGTGAGACGAGTCGGGTCATGCCGTCAAGATAAAATGTAATACTTAAACTAGCAAATGTAATACTAAATCAGGAATAAAATGTTTATTACTTATATGAAAAAATGTAATACTTTTGAAGAAAAATATAATACTTTTACATTTTGATGTAAAAGTATTTCTAGGTGCAACATTAATTATAAGGTAAAATATAATACTTTTGATGAAAAAAGTACGGAGTAATACTTTTACAACAAAATATAAAAGTATTACATTTGTCCTCAAAAATACAATATTACTTTTTCCCAAGTAACAAACATTTTATTTATTCATGATTTAATATTACATTTTCTAGTATAAGTATTACATTTGCATATTGACATGACCCGCGTCACGGATACTTTGACACAAGTGTGACCCTAAAACTTATTACCATTTTCCTCCTCTACTTTTGAACAATAGAATCAAAAATGGGGAAGAAAAAATAAAATGAAAATGAAAATGTCACAAGCGAAGGGGTTGAATAGATTTTTTAAAAACTTTTCAAAATGTTCACTAAGTGAACTTATATTTTAAAATCAAAATAAAGAAAAAATTTTCTTACAACGGAAGTCTTTTATGTTTGCCAACAAAAAGTAGCTAAGTTTTAGTATCCTGACGTCAACTTCAAATACATCACCGTCGGGAACGAGGTGTACGTCGAAAATTCTGATATAACTCAGTTGATTTTAGGACTTTTGGGTAATAAACAGTTGGCCAACACAACCGTTAAAATAATGAGTATATAGGAAATCGCAAAATATGGAAAGAATTATAGGTATTGTATTGCTTAGAATTGCTTGTCCGATCCCTTTTTCATGTATTGAGGGAATCTATTTATACATATCTTTGGGTCGATCCATTTGGGGTACGTATTAATAATAAAAGGAATATGTTTAATTTAAAAATATAGTAAAAGGAATATGTTTAATTTAAAAATATAGTAAAAGGAATATGTTTTATTTAATAACTAGTATTTTTACCCATACGATGCAGGGAATGAATTTGTTGTAATATATTAAGAATATTTAGATCGATATATAATTATTTAAATTAGAAAATCAAATATTATATAGTGCAATTAAAGATATGGTTTGGATCATTATGTGTTTTGATGTTATCATTGCTTGAATTTGAGCAAATAATTGCTAAAATTAATAGCTAATGTGTAGATGTACGCATGCGATGCTATAACTTTAGAGATTTTATTTATTAGTGTTTAATATTTTTATAAATTAGGCAAACGTGCTAGTTCTCAACCAATTCAATTATAGGAATGAATTGCTATCCTATTTTGTATGGAAGATACATTTTTTGTTCAGATACATAGCAATTTTGCCATTTAAAAAAAACATAATGTCACCAATTGTATTTACACATTATTGAAATCTCTGTTGGAAAAATAGCATTAAAATGGCATTTTAAGTGGCTATTTTGTGGTACAATTATCAGTGGGGTCCACTTCCGATTTGGGTCGCAAACAAATAATTCTCGGAGTACGAGTTATCGATCCACAGGGAAGTGGTTGTATCAAGCACTAGTTACTAACTTATTCATTAGAGCTAATCCTAACAATTACTTAGATGATTGATTGGCATAAAATAAATAAAATAAAACAGAGGTTCAGGATTTTGAAAACAATAAGAGAGAAGATGAGATTCATGGGATTCAAGTATTTAATCACCTAGTGCCAATTATCGTTTGCAATATTCAGTTTGGAATTAAGATTTGTGTGGGAATGCAAGGTGGAATCGAATTACACCCGAAATCTCTATTCCTAGTGAATTTCCACTCCCGTGGCTTAAACACCCAATAAGATCGAAGGTCAGCATTCAATTATTCATAATTACTACCATCTCCCGATGTGCAACAATATAGAATAAACTTCCCCTAATAAGTTCCCATTTCCCAAGGTCCAACCATTAGGTGCAATCGTGTGTGCCCTAATTTATGCCCCAACTCCCATTGGTGAAACAAACATGGCTATGAAGCTAGTAACTATAGTCATTAATTACAAACATCAAACAATATTATCACGATTGCAACACAAGTATTAAACCCAAATAATAATATATTTAAGAAACTGAGAGCTCAGGCACATAGGTTCATAAACACTTTTACCCAAGAATCTCTAAAGAATTTAGCCAAGCATGGCT